AGCAGCAGCAGCAGCAGCAGCAGAAGCAGCGCAAGCCACACAAATTTATAGTTGCTGGTTTGCAGTCGAGTTTGGTCGCTCAGCCGCAACGGTCGAACAGTTTGACAATAGAAGCAGAGACAGAAGCAGGAGAAGAAGAATTGTTTGCATGACTTTGCAACTTTTATTGCGAAACGTTGCGCATACGCACTCTGTGTCTAACGGTACTACGCACACACACACGCACGCACAACAAACACACTTACAGTTAGCCAGAGACATTTATTCAAGTCAAGTGTTGCCAAAGCAGAATAAAAAGCAAATACAAATCTAATCAAGTTGCATATTCAAAGTGATCAGCAAAATTTCGTGCATTGAATATCGCTATATATAAATTGAAAAAAAATATATATAAATATATATTATATAGACTACTGATATGTAAAAACAACAAAAACAACAAGCCATGTGTAATCCAAAGCTCTGTTATCAATTCCCCGTTTTCGCCATCTAAACAAAAATTAATAATACTATGAGAAAAAGAAGAAGAAGAAAACTGCAATCGTTGGAAATTCCTAAAATGTTAAAACACATTTAATGACAGGTGAGTGTCTTGAATATGATATTGTATTGAATCCGATACGATTACGATTGTGTTTATGAAATGACCCCGTTTCTCTGATCTCTGACAAATATATAATTGAATAGGTTTGGTTTTATTTCAAAGCAAATATGATGAAAGAGTTTTAGAATCTGAGATTTTGTATACAAACAAGAACTGTTTAAATAGGTAAACAGATAATATTTCATTTTGGTGTATTTCTATACGTATTATATTAAAAACTGTATATATATACCATTCAACTAGCGGCCATTTTTGCTTAATCCAATATTTTGTGTTCACATTAAATGTTTAGGCATATTTCCTCATTCCTTTTCAAAATGACAGCAACAATTTCCCATTTCGCTTACATTCCGCTTAACAACACTATTTTTTCTGACAATTATCTCAGATTCTTTATTCTTGATCTGATTCTGGTGTATTCCTTAAAAGAATAGACTAGAGAACGAAGTCTAATTTGTCTACAAATTAGGTAGAAAAAATCTTAATTCTAAGTTCAGCAATCAACATCGATCAAGTTTGTGAAAGTTTGGTATTGAAATCTGAGAGTTGCTCATTCTGGCCGCTTTTCTATGCTGTTGATTGTTTTTCTGTTTTACTTGCATAAAGAATTGAAAAATATTTCAAATGCTTCGAAAAAATCACAGACTTTTCTTTAGCCGACTTTCTTTCCTCATTCTCTAGTTACTGTTGTCGATAATGCATAATATCCTTGAAACTGAATACATATTTAATGCTGATTGTTCTTCCTCTATTTAACACGCATAAAGTATTCTTGAATATTTCAAGTGCATCGAAAATAGCCAACGCTTTTCTTTTCTGATCATTCCATACATATCTGTCTAGTAACAAAATATCTTCTGCTTGTTATCGATAATATGCCGAATCTGAATATATAATTGTGACATCAATTTAGGTTGTTTTTTGGAGTCTATATCTCGAGTCGAACTAATCGAATAAGCTTTCCAATCTGCCTACTTATTTTTCGACTTTTCATGCAGATTTCTAAAAAGATAGTTGAAAATCTGTTTTATTTCTTTCTCTCAGCGAATAATCCGTTCAATTCAGAAATAGAAACCACTGTTTTTTGTTGTTTTTGTGCCTAATCATTGTGCTTAGTTGCATTTTCAGCAACTCGATTGTTTTTGTGGCCAACGATAAATGGTGTTAAATAGTTCGACTGGAACTTTTGTTGTTGTTGTTGTTGTTGTTGTTCATTCCGACTCGCTGAGTTTTCCCCCCTTTTCATTATCAACTCAGTTTCTCATTGTTGATTGCGATGATTTGCACCATTTGTGTTAAGTCGAAACTTAATTTTCAAGTTTTGCACACTTATTCTATATATTCTATCTTATCATCGTAAATATGTGAAGAAGCTGACGCAGAACGAGAGAGAGAAAGAGAGAGAGAGAGAGAGAGAGAGAGAGAGAGATAGATGAGAAGGGAGACGAGGGAGGGAGAAAGTGGGAGAGGTGTCTCTGTTATCAGCGACTATTGCATTTCCTAATGACAATCTTATTTGGCGCGCATTTTCGCTGCCGTTTCTCGACCAACCACCCTCTCCTAACTCCCCAACACCCCCTTCCTACACCACTGAGTTCGTCTCAGCCGCTGGCGACCCTTTTCTCGCTGATAAGCAAATTAGCTTGCCAACTGGCCTAATAATTGAGTGGGCGGGGAAGATATATGGTGGTTTACCTGATACTGAGCGCTTGATACAGTAGACACTCATTAAAATAAACACGTGTGTCAGAAACGTGAAATTTAATTCGTTTTAAATTCTATCTGAGAAGCGAAAGATCATTTGTTGTTATATTTTCAAGTTAATAAAAGACTTTATATTATCAAATATTAGAAATAGAATATAGAAAAAATCTGGTCGAACTTTAATTTGTATTATATTATAAAAATTAAAAAATAAACGGAAATGTTCTTATTAGTATTTGAAATTGCGAGAAAGCTTTAAGTACCAATTTCAAATGGCTTTCAATAATTCGATAAGCCCAAGTTATCGAAAACTTAAGAAAGAATATAGAAAATGGTCAAAAAACGAATGATGGAATTTTAGATTAATGTGGATGAATAATGATTTTGTTGTATTAAAAAATTATCGTTCCACATAGTTTGCAAAAAAATGTTGATATACCACTGTTTATTGATGTGTTTGTCTGTGTGTGTGTGTATTTGTATGTGTGTGTGAGTGTGTGTGTGTGTAATACACACTGTGTTTATTTTTAGGGGGGGCGTTAACCAGTCGAGAAAACTTCTAAGCGTTTGAGCCGTCGCCGCCAACTGACTGACTGACTGACTGAGTGAATGAATGAATGATTGAATGACTGACAGACTGACTAAAGCTTTTTAGCCACAAGCGGTTCTCACATTTGTCATGGAACAGCAGTAAGCGAGGGGGTGTAGTGGGCGAGTGGTATGGGCATAGGGGGGGAGGCGACATCATAATAAAGAAAAGTGGCCGCAAAGAGTGCTTAAAAAATGGAAATAGATGAGTGTGCCAAGGCAAGGCAAAGGCAAAAGCAAAGAGCATGGGAAAATGGAAGGCGACCGGCAGCAGCCAGGTAAACTAGCCAAAAATGAAAGAAAAAAAATAGAAAAAAGAAATTAAATAGGAGCATGAGAGCACAACACGAAAAAATAGCGCAAAAAAAGAAAAAATGAAGCAAGAAGTAAAGAATTTCTACTTATAACGAGTTTTTATTACAAACGCGCGAAAGCAGCTCACAAACAAACCCAAAAATATAAGAAAAAAATAAAAAAAAATCAGCCCCCCGCCCTCCACAACCCGTTAGCCGAAAATGTATTAAAAAAGTAGTAAAAATAAGTAAAAAAAAAAAAGTGGGCTGCGAGTCTAACAAAATTCCAAAAGGAGTGCCTGGCCGAGTGGGAGGGAGACAGAGCAAGAGCAAGAGAGTGCACATAAAAAGTAACAGCATTTTTTGCCTAGCAGACAAATGCACGGGCAAGCAGACGGACAGGCAGACAGACAAGCGGACAGACAAGCGGACAGGCAGACGAACAAACGAACAGAGACACGAACGGACGGACGAAGACGAAGACTGCGAAAGCATGAAGTAACATTATTCAAAAGAAAGCCAAGTTAAGGCATGCCGAGCACACACACACATAGACAAAAGGAGAGAGAGAGAGCACACAAGAGAAAGAGCGAACGCCGCAGCATAAGTGCAGCAGCGACGCGTTGCAGGCACAATGGCGGATCGCAGTAAGCATTAAACATCAATGCTGCTGCAGCAGCGACGCCAGCAGTGGGCTGACTCCAACAACAACAACAACAGCCGACATTCTTTCATTCGTACAACGACCTCGACTTTGATTTGCAGCAAAGAATTTTTGCGCGAGAGAGCCCAAACACGATGTGCCACCGAAGAGCGAACGAGCGCCGGTGCGCCACACACACACATGCACACACGCGCACACAGTAAGCGGCCTCCAAAAGAGAAATGGCAACCCAAACGAACGGCCTCTAGACGACCTACACGCGTGAGCAGCAACACCACAGACAGAGAGCGAGAGCGAGAGCGAGAGAGAGCGAGCGAACGCACGAGATGACTGCTCGTTTGCTGTTCGGCTTTTTTTTCTGATTTAGCATCGTGTCTTGTCAATCGTAGGCAGCAGCAGCAGCAGCGACGGCAACGGCGACTGAGGCAGCAACCGAGACTGCTGCTGCTGCTGCTATACGCTTGGCAATTTCGTTTGTTCGCCAACTTCATTCATTCGTGCTGCGCGTCTCGTCTGTGCCGGTCGTCTAGCGCTTTCGCCTAGCACTTTCAAAGTTAACATTGCTCTTCTCACACACACACACACAAAGACACAAGCAGTGCTAAAGTGAGAAAAAAAATAAATAAATATGCCGACGCCTGTCTGTGCTAAAAGTCGCCAAAAAGTTAACGCGTTACTCATACAAAATATAAAAAAAACTTGACTATCGCCAGACACAAATACAAGCAAAGAAGACTGAGGCCGGCCAGACGACTCACACCCATACACATGTGCGTCTGTGTATGTGTGTGTGTGTGTGTGCATAGCGGCTTCAGCTAGCAGTTAGCAGCTACAGTTATCAAATGCGGCCGCCGCCGGCCTGTCAACTTGCCCAGACAGCGAGAGAGAGAGAGAGAGAGAGATGGAAAGAGAGCGGAATAGGAGGGAGGAGGGAGAAGAGAACTGAGCTGAGCTGAGCTTTGTGTATATAATATTTCATATGTGCAATGAATGTTTTGTGTGTGTTGATGGAGAGTGTGGAGAGAGTGGAGAGTGGAGAGTCTGTGTATCACAGCTAACCGGATGTTGATTTGTTGGCCTGCTGCACAAAAAACCGCAACAACAAACACAACAAAACTCAACACTCAGCACACACAACATCTTACAACACTGGAAACGCACACACACACACTCACACATCCTTTTCAAACACTGCTGCTGCTGCTGATGCTGCCTATGATGTGATGAAAAAGAATGCGAAATGTGGATGCCGACATTAAAAGACAGACTTCGACGCTGCTCGCTGCTAAAATACATTCAAGCCAAAAAAATACAAAAGCAGACAAAGCCACTCGCTATTAATAAATACGTATGTGTGTGCTTATGAATGTGTGTGTGTGTGTACATACAGTAAAATGGCGAAAGCAAAAAGAAAACCTGAGCAACACCTTATTCCGAGCTGTCAATGCAAACTGATATAGCTGCTATACATGATATATATGTGTATATAGTAAACATAAGCTGTAAATAGGTAAGCCACAAAATAGAAGAAATATAAGCCATGATTTTTATACAAAACATTTAACATATCTGAAATCGGTTATAATCGGCTATGATGTCAATTTGAAGCAATACATATATATCGTTGCTAAATTGGAATCTAGAATTTGAGATAAAAAATTTGTAGTTTATCTTAACTTTTGTCTCTAACTCTTTCCTATCGGATATAATAGTAGTGTTAGTTGTAATCTTATTGTTTTATTCTAATAAGTATAACACACTCTTTCCGAGTTGAAATTGATTGATTACGATTTCATTCTACACAATTCTAAACAGCAGCATTTGTTAAGTTTGTTTAGAATTAGAATTTCCTATATGTAATTGACACTTTGTATATTGTATCTATCTATGTATTGTACCAATACCGAAATAATGCAAACAATTTATAGATATTTCCATAAATCAAAGAACTATAAGTTTTTTTATTTAACATCTCTTAAGTTGTATTTTCCTTATAAGCATCACTCAGTGAAAAATGTATTCTGATTGTCTTTCAAATCTTAAGTCTTATAATGTGTTATTCACAATTTCCACCTTTCTTAATTGTGAACCAAGATCTAAGATATATCAGCAACCCCATAAGATATATATGCAAGGGTATCAAATATTCTTCAAAAGATTCTTTTACTTCATTCTCACAACTATTAAAATTGTAAAGTTTAAGTTAATTGCTGAAAGGGCGTTACAAGCATTTTAAAAGAGCCAATTTCGCTGGTGTTATAGCTTCATCTTTTATTTTAATTACTATATTTAATAACTTATTAGCTTGTATTTTATGGCAATGCACTGTGAAATAGATTTAAGAACATGTGTCCAAACTATATACTTAATCACATAATTAATGACTTGAAACTTGAAGCTGATGTTGAAGCAAACCGAGCAAAGCAATCTAACAATCAAACTGTGCTTCAAAATCAACAAAAAAGTCGCTTGTTAGTTTTGCAGTTTAACATGCAATTCCCAGAGAAGCACATATACACAAAAAAAAAAAGGAGGGGGGGTGGGCTCGTTCAACCACGCCTACCCTCGTGTTTTTGTGATATGCGGGGCGTGCCCCGAAAGCGTGCTAATAAAACATTTAATTAAAACATTAAGCGACGACGACGTCGACGTCACATAATTAAACTGTAGCACCTGAACAACCCAGCGAAGCGAAGCTAACCAGTTGAAGAGAGCACCCCCCAGCCCCCTGCCCCTACCTCCCTGCCCCTCCCCCCTCTCTCTCGCTCTCTCTCTCTGCACAGTTAGGCTGTGTCGACAATTGTAGTAAAAGTTTATCGCCCGCATTAAAAAACCATGGATTAAAATTCTACTTCAAATAAAGAGAGTAAAAAAAAACAAAAAAAAAGTAGCGAAAACCTTTGGCTACCTTTTTTCTTTTTTTTTTGTTAAACATGTAACGGTTTCTTTTTGCTATATATGTGGCAAGCAGCTCCAACCCGTTGCAATAAAGATAAGAGGCGCAGTTAGCAGGTCGCAGTAGACCTGCATTTGTGCGCCAGTGTTGGTTAACAAATGTTGTCCACTAATTGCAGTGCCCAAAAAACATTTCGCTCGACTATTTTCGGCTGCCATTACGAGGGGCAACTGGGTTGTGCTTAGGGGGTAGGGGGAGGGAGTAGAATTTGGGGGCGTGGCTGTGCAAAAAAGTCAGCGCCAGACATGCAGACAATTTCATATAAAATGCATGAGCACGAAACCAATTCAATAGCCACCTCCCCAGCACCGGCAAAAATGTTGAGAGACGATTGCCTGCCTGCCTGCCCCACTGTAGTTGTCGTTAGAGATAGACTCCCAAAAAAATAAAAAAAAATACGAGGAAGCAGCAGCAAATTACTCGATAGGCGATAGACCAGCCTGCCTGGCAAAGTTCTAGATACAAGATACACCAGGACGATGACAAGCGCAAAAGGCATTCAAAAAAATAATGAAAAAAAAAATTGTGTAAGAAATTTTTGTACGAAAAATTAAAAGAGAAGTGTGGCACAAGCAGAGGGTTGTAGAGTGGTTAAGGGATGTGGCAGGGTGGAGAGGTGGTGGGATTTACTCAATCGAATGGAAGCGGCAAAGTTTTCGAATTAATTTATTGATAGCCAAGCGATAAGGCAATGGAAATGCGAACTAAAGACGACAGATAAAAGAAGAGCTGCAGAGTGTGAGATAAGCGAAACATCAAAAAAGGGAGACGACGAGGAGGAGGAGGACATATCTGAAAACTGAACTGGAAGTTTGGTTTTAATCAAATGGGGCACGGCAGAAATTTAAAAGCCAAATGAAAGAGAACAGCGCCATAAAAATGATTTGTGTCTGCAAGTGGAGACACAGAAAAAGAGAGCGAGTCAAACAGAGAGAGAGAGAGAGAGAGAGAGAGAGAGAGAGAGAGATAGCTGAGCTGTGGCGATAAAAAGAGATCGCATGAGTCATAATGCTCATACGCAACGTTTGACAAATACGGCAAGAAAGAACAGCAGCAGCAGCTGGCATTGAAAATACTACAAACATTTCTGCGCATTCGTATTTGTCTTCACGTATTTACTTAGGCCAGTAAAAAAAAGAAACGAAGTCAGAAGCAGAAATGTACGCTTTGTATCTGATTAAATGCGTATAAAACAAGCCAGGCAAGCCGTAAAAATAAATGTTAACGCGTTCGAGAACATTACGACTGGGGAGTTGGGGCAGCAAAGTAGCTAAATCGCCGAGCAAAGTTAAAGCCAAAGGCAATGGCAAAGCCAAAAGACAAACACGCTAAAGAAAATAAGCTTGGAAAATCTTTCAAGTGTGCAAAAATATTAAATACTCTGGCAATTATGGCAGATAAATGCTAATTAAATCATATAATAGAAAGTGAGGGGGAAAAAAACAAAATCATCATTTTTATTTATGGGTTTTGATGCGATAACGTCAGCCTATGTGCGAATTTTTGACTTGTGAACAAACATTTAATGATAAGATTGCGACCTATCCCAAAGCTCAGCGGATTGATGGATTGCTTTGAAGAGTGGAAAGATTTATGGTACTTTTTAGGCAATTGTTTTTATGCATTTTAAATGATATAATGACATATTCAATTACGATGAGAAATGGGTTTTTATAATGTTTAAAAATGAACAAAATTTTATTTTGTTTTGCTAGTGCTGCAATAATAAAATTTAGATTTATTTACTTAAGCATTTTATAACTCTTGAGGACTGTTTATTGTTTGGTGAACTCTTTATAAACTAAATATGTTTTGTTTATATACAAATTATACATAAAAATTAAATAATACAATTTCTATTTAAAAAATTTAAAATACACTCGATCTGGCGCCAACGAAAAACAATTTTCAATTATTGAAGAGTAGTGTTTTCAAATTGGTATCATTTTTATATGAAACGTATATTAATATTATTTATTTAATTGGAGGTTTAATGCAAATACTTAGAATTAGAAATAAATTTAATATTCCTATTTTTAACTCACTTTATGTACTCAATCAAAGCAATACCTCTTGATTTATTCTTCTTTTTTTTTTATATGTTAATGATAAGCATTTAATCTTATTAGCTTTCAATATAAATATAAATCTATACTTAGAAATAGATAGAAGAGAAATCACTTTAGCTGATAACTGTATACATATATTTATGCCATAGCTGTTGCCTTGCTGGCCCGTGTTGCATATAAACTGATAAATGAGGAATACCTTGTTTAAAAGCAAAGCAAGAAACAAGAAACAAGTAACACAAATGAAATACAGACAGCTGCCGAGCTTTCGTACAGTGTGTACTATAAGTATATGCAATTGCTGATGTACATGTTTGTATTTATAGGTTGTATTTGTGTTTGTATTTGTATGCTCTGGTAAATATATGCACATAAGTAAAAAGCATCTTTGCCAAACCAGAGGTGTCTACCACACCCTCTCCCTCCCATCTCTCTCTCTCTCTCTCTCTCTCTCTAGCTCACATCTTTATCTCTTTTGTGTTCAATAACATTTAGCTCTGACTTTGACTTTGCGCATTTCTCTCCTATATATTTTTTTCCTATAGTTTGTTTTTATTGTTTTAACTGCTGCTGCTGCTGCTGATACGCGACTTGAACAAAAAAAAAAAAATAAATAAATAAAAAAATACAACAAATAATGCAAATTTTATTTCGCTTTTTATACGCTTTATGTTTTTTTTTTTTTTGTGATTCGAATAGTCGTTGAGTTTGTTGTTGGTGTTATTTTTTAGGGATTGTCTTTCGGTTTGGATTTGTTTTGAAAAAAACGCTGCTTCGATTTATTTATAGTGTCATTCATGCTGCTCGTTTTTCAACAGTTTCAACTGTAGTTTTGACTATTTGTGTGCTTTGCAACTGTATCTGTTGCTATTGTGTATAACTGTATCTGTAACTGTATCTGTATCTGTGTAATGGCTGCTCTATAAACATTGTATATATATACATATATTTTTGATTGTATTTATTTGTTGTCCTCTGTTTGCTTTTGGCCGCATCGCAACTGCTGCAATTTATTGTTAGTAGCCAGAAGCTGGCACTAATAAAATATTGAAATAACACAACAATTTGTATGCCATGATTTCTGGTTCAAGTTTATTACACTCGCTTCTCTCTCTCTCTCTCTCTCTCTCTCTCTCGCTCTCTCTCTATCTCTCTAGTATCTACTCCCTGCTATCTGCTCATATAAATAACATGCGTTTTGGCTCAATTTTTGGATTAGATAAATGCAATTGGTTAAATTTAATTGACAACTGAAACTGGGGAATTTTGTTAGAAGTTCAATTGTTTGAATGTTTCGGGGATTAGCATTGATATATTGTATACTCTTCAATCTCTATCACTCTCTCTCTCTCTCTCTCTCTCTTCTGCATGTCGCTTACCAAATTGAGTTATAATGCTGTCATGTATTGACCATGCTACTTGTAACTCGGCTTAAATGAGTACCGAGAGATTTAAATAACTACCAAAGAGAGTACTTAGACTAAT